AACCAGCCGAGCCCCTCGCAGCGGCAGAATACCGTCGAAACGCGTGTCTGGGCTTTGATTTAATACCTGCGCTGCCGGTATTGTAAATAATTCTACAAAATGACTTTAAAATAATTCATGCCCAATTCCCATACTGTTGTGGATCACATGGTGAACATGATTGGAATCAATGGCCAATCTATTAGGCTGGGGCGTTTTGAAGAGGTTATTTTCGTGGCCGAAAGGGGACCAATGTGTGGCCAACATACGCGCACACACCCACACCAACAAAGTGTGCCAAAAATAGGTTTAACTGGCGAGTTATCAACAGCCCCCCGCAACGAAATTCATCCGCTAGCCTCTGGTGGTGAACAGGAGTATCAATCCACATAGGGGTGGGCGCACAGTTAGGTTCAAAATAAAATTAACTAAAAGCCAGGGATCTGCTGCAGCTCCGTGTCGTCAAGGGCACGCCAACGTACATAGAAGGAATAGACCAAATTCAATATTGTACAAAACTAGAGGCAATTACCCTCTTTTCTTCCTCGGTGTTTCCAACAGGCTCCATCTCAAGGACCTTCTCATAGTAGTGCATCGCAATGTGGCCCAAACCTACAACAATGAAGAAAAGGTCCTCATAATAAACACAAAATTTCCCTTGAAACAGATAGCGAAGGTCGGGGAATATTCAAAAGGGGTTTTGCGGAGCGTATTTCCGACAAATTGATTTGCGGGAAATCCATAATTAAGGTGTCCCTTTCTGCCGAGTTTCCCTGGTTGTATCAAATTAATCAAGGGTGACGAAGGAAACAAATTATTTACTAAAAATACTTTTGCATCATTTAAGCACGAAATGTACTCAGGTGGCATGTGTCTGGTGGATTTTAATGCGATAGCTTGGAAAATCCGCTTACTGCATCAGGATTGGTCGATTCGATAGGTTACAGTAAACTGGACGGGTAAAGTGACCCAAGGGCGGTCTGCCAGTAAAAGTGCAAACATTAACTTCTACTCACTTACTGTAAGTAGTATAAATTAACGCGATAGGCAAGTATAATTAACACTCCTCCCCTTCCCCTATTGGGGGAGCTTTACACTAACACAAGTGCAAATACGACTCTCAGGAAATAACTGAGGAGAGGCAGTTGTG